CTTTTAAATTGGAGCCTAATTACAAAAATAAACTTTTAAAAAGGCACTTTTCTTACATTCAAAATGGTTTTTTATCCATAAGTATAATAGTGGTGTACTTTCTACGAAGCATCTTCCACTCTGGCGACAATGGTTAACAACCTGATGGTTTTTGCCAATATTGCCAATGATGGATTATAGTATTTCTCTACCTATTCAAAAAGATCCATTACTATTATCTCAATATAACCAACAGTTTTAGAAAAATCACCATTCCATATATTGCTAAAGTGAATACATCTAACGTTTTCTCATTATATCAAATAATAATTTTATTAATAAATAACTAAAAGTTAAAATTTTAATTTTGTAAAAAATAAATTATTTAAAAACTTTTCAATTAAAAATTTTAAAAGTAAAATAAAATGAAAAAAAATAAGTTTTGAAAAAAATAAAAAAGGATAAAGGACAATTATTATAGAAAACAGTTGCAATTGCTTTTCACAAGACCCATAAAGGTTCAGCTTATAACTAAAGGTGTAGCACAACCAAGATGTTTTCACTGTGCTGTCTTTTGTCATCCAAACATGTTTACAAGGCGATTATCCCTCCCCCAAAGTCACGCTGCACTGATCGAACTTTTCAATCCAAAGTGAGCATCTAATCTCATAATAGCTCTCACTTGAAGCAATATGAACATGAAATAATCCATTTAATGGCTTGAACTTGAAATCGATTTACTTTGAAACTTGTAAAATTAAAAAATTTAATCCAAAAGGACTTGAATTATGATTAAGCGAAAGTGATTGATCCTGAAATAAATTGAACCTAAACTTACTTGAATTTGAAATAGTCCAACTGGAGACCACTAAACTTTAATTTCAAAATAATGAAAATGAAATTAACTCGAATTTGAAGATACATTGATGCAAACCTTCCTAATTACCATCTATAAGAACATAAAAGCCTAAGACATGATAGTACTTATTTATTGTCAAGTACTATCTAATCAAAGTATCTTTGTTTGTTAATTATACATTCCATACCCATACTATAAAAAATGTTTAATTTGATGTTTGAAGAACAAAATGAGATTAAGTATTGGAATTTTCATTTTGTTACAAGATTACACACCTTGTTAATTTCATTAATCAAATGGATGATGTGTTAAAAAATTCAATAAAACATGTTTCATGTGTCTAAAAATGTTATGTCAATTCACAAAAAATGAAATTAAAAATATTAAAAAATAAAAAATTGCAAACAATAAGAAAGATAGGAAATGAAAAGGGAGAGAGATACCATCCCCTTTCCCCTCATTTCTTTTTCTTTCTATGGTTTGTTTTCCTTTCTTTCCTCCAGCTCCTTAATTTCTTTCTTTTTCTTTTCTCTTTTCCTAATTTTGTCATTTTCTTTATTTTTAATTTCAAAAATAAAACATTGTATAAAAAATAAAAAATGAGTTAATTTTTTTTATGCATTGTCATTGGTTCTTTGAGGCACTTTACATTTTTGCTTAATTGAATTAATAAGGCGTGTATTTTGATAAACAAAATTAGACAAAAAGCAAGTTTTATATAGTTTGATTGAATAGGTTTTCACCCATAAAAAGCAAATAATATAGTATTTTTTTGGTAAGAAATAATGAAAAATTATCTAAAGTTTTTAAATTTATCAATAGAGTTAGAAAATTGATAAATTGTTTAAAAGGTACTTAAAAATAAAAAGTAATATAATGAAAAGAGACTAATGATAATTTTTAATTTTATTTGTGAAATTTAAAAATTTTATTGATAATATATGAAACAGTGATCTATAAATAATATAATAAGCTTACTAATTATAACATATTTTTGGAAAACAAAAAAGGTTACATAACATTATGGATAATAGTAAAGTATTTGGCATGAAAATCATTTTTCCTAGCACAAGAAGCATTTAAAGTGTTTGGTTCATGGAATCTTGGATTTTAAGAGAAAGTGTGATCCTTGAGAAAGTGTGATACCCAAGGTTTTCTTTCATATTTATGACATCCTATATTTAGAGTCACTCGTTTGGTTGGGAGGAATCCACATATATTAATTTTTGTACAATTACCATAATTTTCTTAACATATATAAAGGCAACTTTTCATTTTGTTTTATTAATAATATATATCCAAAATGACAAATGATGCTTTTAACAGCAAAAGAAAATAAGTATTTTAATTGATTATTGTTTTTATTTATAAAATATCATCAATTAAGGTGTTTCAAAACATTAATGCCTTAATTGATAGGGAAAAATGTTAGAAAAATGATCAATTAAGGCGTTTGATACTTTGCACGCCCTCTTTTTATAAATTAAAAATAAGATCAATTATGGCTTTTGTGTAACTAATTCCTTAATTGATATCTTTATAAATTTTGCAGCAAATCATTTAAGGCATTTATGCAACCAAATGTCTTAATTGATCAAGCATTTAAGTTGTTTTTGTACACAATACCTTAAATGATTTTTTTATTTTTTTTATAATGCCTTAATTGCTCAATCATTTAAGGCATTTCTATACACAAATGCTTTAATTGATCCTTGTTTTTTAAATAATTGATCAATTAAGGCATTTTATATACAAAAATGCCTTAAATGATCTTTTTTTATAATAACTTAATTGATCAATTATTTAAAGCATTTTGATACACAAATGCCTTATTACACGATCTTCAAAAGCGAAAAAAAAATATTTATCCTAAAATGATCAATTAAGGCATTTGATGAAGAAAATGCCAAATGCCTTCATTGATCATCAATCAAGGCAATTCTTTATTAATCATCAATTAATTGATGCATTAATCATTTTAAAGCATTTTATGCATGAAACATTATAATTGATGATCATTTAAAGCGTCTGTGTACAAAAACGTCTTAATTGATTATCAATTAAGGTGTTTCTTCAAATCAAATACCTTAATTACAATATAAAAAAATTAAAATGTCACTGGCAAAAACCTACATCTGAGTTCCAATAACTTCTAGATATATTTTTCAAAAGGGTAACAGTTATGTGATAATTTTTCATTCTAGTCAAATTTATAAATAAGATAACTTCCTCTCTTTAAAATCCTAAAATATCATAGGGAAAAAAGAGTTTCTAATTTCAAGACTTTTGGTACTATTAAAAATTTGACATTTTTTTCTTAATCAGATTACTCTGAACCAAACATATGAATTAAATACCCGTAATCATGATTTCAAAAAAAATATTTATGAATTTTTTTGAATCAAACGCACTCTTAATAGATTAAAAAGTTTTCGAGTGGACATTTACCATGTTACAATTTATTGTGCTTTGTTGCAAAATAATTTTTTTTTTTAAATATGTGTAATTTTTAAAGTTATTTATATTTTTAATATATATTAATTAATATAATTAATTAAATTTAAAAAAAATTATTTTAATAATATTAAAAATAAAAATAAAATTAATACTTAAATATTTTATTTAATGATCAATATAGGTACGTGTCTATAGTTTTAATCCCCATCTTTCAAAAATTTTACTAAAAAAATAAAGGATGAATATAATTTTTATGTATTATATTATTTCTTATATAATAAATATACTAAGTATAAAATAAATAAATATTTCAAATATATTATTTAATTCTGTTTTATTTTATTAAGTATGTTATGTTTATGCTTTCATTCATTTCTTTTTTGAAATTATAAAGCTATAGTATAAATAAAATATATAATTTATTAAAATAACATATAAAAAAGTTAAAATAATTTTTAAAATTATAATTAATTAATATAATTATATTTTTTTATTTTTTATTATTATCAAATTAATAGTTATTGATATCTATAGTATTTAATTGAGTGCATATTTTTATCAAGGTTTTCATTTTAATTTTTTATTTAATGAATTTTTTTAATTTCATTTTTCTTATTGTGGATCTTTAGTTTATATTTTAATTGAGATTTTGATGATATTTTTTATTAGTTTTGTGATTTTAAAGGATTTTGTATTTCTGTATTTTTTTATTTCATAATTTAGAAAAAAAAAAAAAAAAACTCAAACAGGCCTCAATTGAAACCTTAAAAAATAATAAAAAAAAAAACTCTATTTAATATATTTCCATAGATTATTGATTGAATCGGAGAAACCAAACTGCCAATGCCCTTCTTTTTTCAGTTAAAGCTGGCATCCAAAGGCTGAATCCATATTCTGTGCAACAACGTGGCTGAAACTATGCGGATTTTCTGATTAAAAAAAATCTCCCCGATTGAACATAATAAATAGACAATGTTAAATATCCTAATTCGCAAAGACCAAAATAAAATCACGTTTAGAAGTGATAACTATTCGTATTAGATTCGATTTAATTTTTTAAATAATATATAATATTATAAAAATTTAAAATTTAATTAAAATTTGAATCAAAATCTTTATTCAATTTGAATTGAATCAAACTAAATTTTAATATAAAATTTTAATTTGATTTGATTTATTATTTTTTAATTTTTTATATATTATTTTAATATAAAATTTTAATATATTTAAATAAATTTTAATATAAAATTATTATTTTTATTTTATAAAAATTTAAAATATATATAAAAATTAAAAAAAATTAATTGGATTTAATTTTTAAAATTTTTCATCTCTTAATTCAAATTTAATATATATATTTAATATTTAAATTTAATTCAAGTTGAATAAAAAAATTGATATGAATTACATTAAATATTATAATTTTAAATTAATTTTCCAAATTTTTAATTTTTTTATACCCTTATTGCCCCTTCAAATAAAATACTTAGAGAAGAAAACCCACTAAAATAAAAAGAGATTTTATTCCTATCAGTTATCACTAGAAAAAGAACAAAAAATAATGGAAATATTGTAATAAAAATGTTTTAAAATTTTAATTTAGATATTTAAAGAAAATATTTAATGACAAAACAAACAAAAAGGAGGAAGGAAATCTGTTGACTAAGCAGCAGTATACAGCTGGGGTTTGCCTTTGCCTCACACTCTCTCTCTTCCTGTGTAATGTTCTGTATTTCCTTCACAGCATCCCTTCTCACCCACTCAACACAGAAAAAATGCTCTCTCATTAACACTCTCTTCTCTTTTCTTTTCTTCTGTGAATGCCTCCAGGCCAAACAAGAGAAAAACAGGGGCAAAATCCGCAAATATTACCCGCATTATCATATCCTCATCCTCCTAGTCTTTAAACAAAACATAAACAACGGCCAAAACGGAGAATGCGAACCCAATTCTTTTTCATTCCCGTTCTTTTTGTAGTTCTAATACAGGTGACCAAACCAGATCTTGTCACTGACAGAGTAGCGCTTTTGGCCCTTCGTTCCTCGGTCGGAGGTCGAACCCTGTTCTGGAACATCTCTAGCCAGAGTCCATGCTCCTGGTTTGGGGTCAGGTGCGAGCAGAACCGCGTTACAGGGCTTAGGCTGCCTGGTGTTGCACTCTCTGGCGCAATCCCACTTGGCATTTTCGGGAACTTGACTCAGCTGCGCACGCTGAGTCTCCGTCTCAACTCTTTAACCGGACAACTCCCTTCGGATCTTGCTCTTTGTGAAAATCTCCGAAACCTTTACTTACAAGGGAACCGTTTTTCGGGTGAGATCCCGGAGTTCTTGTTTGGTCTTCATGATTTAGTGAGGCTAAATCTTGGCGGTAATAATTTTTCTGAGGAAATTTCTGTTGGGTTCAACAATTTGACAAGGTTAAGAACTTTGCTTCTTGATAGCAACAGCCTTTCTGGGTCTGTACCTGATTTGAGTTCTTTGCAAAATCTCGATCAGTTTAATGTGTCAAATAATTTGTTGAATGGGTCAATCCCGAAGGGGTTACAGAAATATGGGTCCGGTGCTTTTCTGGGGAATTTGCTTTGTGGACAACCACTTGATAAGGCTTGTCCTGCTACTGCTGTTGCTGGGAATGCGACTGAGCCTGCCAATCCAACAGATGAGAACAAAGAAGAGAAAGAGAAGAAGAGCAAGTTGTCTGGGGGTGCAATTGCAGGTATTGTGATTGGATCTGTGCTGGGATTTCTATTGATTGTTTTGATTTTGATGATTTTATGTAGAAAAAGGAGTAGAAAGAATAGGAGGTCAATTGACATTGCTTCGATTAGAAATCAAGAATTGGGGATTCCCGGAGATAAATCAGGTGGGGAATTGGAGAATGGTGGATATGGAGATGGGTATTCAGTGGCGGCGGCAGCAGCAGCAGCAGCAATGGTGGGTGGTGGTGGAGTGAAAGCAGGTGAAACCAATGGGACCGGAGCTAAGAAGTTGGTTTTCTTTGGGAATGCGACGACAGTGTTTGATTTGGAGGATTTGTTGAGAGCTTCCGCTGAGGTTTTAGGTAAAGGAACGTTTGGAACAGCATATAAAGCAGTGTTGGAAGGTGGAAATGCAGTGGCTGTCAAGAGGCTCAAGGATGTGACAATTTCTGAGAGGGAATTTAAGGATAAGATTGAAGGAGTTGGAGCTATGAATCATCAATATTTGGTCCCTCTCATAGCTTACTATTACAGTAGGGATGAGAAGCTTCTTGTCTATGATTACATGCCCATGGGAAGCTTATCTGCCCTTTTGCATGGTGAGCAATTTTTTTTTAAAAAAATTCAGAGCAACCCTTTTTGGATCATTCATTGCTTTTGCTTTTTGCAGATTTATGTTGGTGAATAGTTGTTATCATTTACATTATCCATCATCCGTTGGTGGAGATGATTACTGAGTTTTGTTTTGTTTTTTTTTTATTATTATTTTAGATGAGGATTCATTTCGTATGCCTGAATTATCTGTGAGGAGATTATGGGTTGGTTCTCTTTTAAAAAAACTGATAAAATAGGTTGCTTAAATGAGTGGAATTTAAAGTAATTCTGAATTTGCTTCTTTTGAACTTGCTCAATTTCATATGTGGATGCTACTCATTCTTCGTATGCTGCGTTGATCTTCTCATTCTGCCATTTGCCTCTACTTTTATGAGCAAAATTCAATTTCGCTTTCGTCCAAGTGTTTGTCATCAAACTTGGTTGATATATTTAGCATCATTTTCAGCTATTTATGGAGATTACATCATGGTCGGGAATGGTAGTGCTCTATTCAGCATTAATTTTTCCTTCATATTTATACTGTTAACTTTTGGGATGCAGGGAACAAAGGAGCAGGAAGGACACCACTGAACTGGGACATTAGATCTGGAATTGCTCTTGGAGCTGCCCGTGGAATCGAGTACCTGCACTCTCAAGGCCCTAATGTCTCTCACGGAAACATAAAATCATCAAATATCCTCCTCACTAAATCCTATGAAGCTCGAGTTTCTGATTTTGGCCTAGCACAACTTGTAGGGCCTTCCTCCACACCCAGCCGAGTGACTGGGTACCGGGCACCAGAGGTAACTGACCCCCGCAAAGCCTCACAAAAGGCTGACGTTTATGGCTTTGGCGTGTTGCTTTTGGAGCTATTGACTGGGAAAGCCCCCACCCATTCAATCTTGAATGAGGAAGGGATTGACCTCCCAAGATGGGTGCAGTCTGTTGTTCGGGAGGAATGGACTTCTGAGGTTTTTGATCTTGAACTCCTCAGGTATCAGAATGTGGAGGAAGAGATGGTTCAACTCTTGCAACTTGCAGTAGATTGTACTGCCCAATACCCTGACAAGCGCCCCTCCATGTCTGAAGTAACAAGGCGTATCGAGGAGCATCGTGGTTCTAGTTTGCGAGAAGGTATTGATGCACAACCTGATAATGTCAATGATGCAGATGATTCTCGATGAGTTAGGTTATGGCTGCCATAATACCATTTTCTCTAACGGGTAGATGGATTATCCCTGCTTTTGTTATGTCCATAATTAGCATGTTAAGTTTGGTGGCTTTGTTGTATGCTTGACCTCGGTCTATTATTTCCTTTATAGGGTGCCAATTGTCTGTATCTTTCTTTTTCCCCCCTCTTTTCCCCTTAATTCCCCGTTGGCCACTGCTTTTTGTTTATTTTTTTTTTACATTTATACTTTGATGTGGATATCTGTCCCATTTGTTCTTGTTGGGTGGATCTCGGTGGTTGTAATTATTACTTTTGCTTTTAGTTTTTCGGCTTTTGCTTTTGGTGCAACTTTTGATCTGTTTCGACTTTAGACCAGGCTGCTTTAATTACTTTTAAAAGGTTGGTTTTGATATATATTAACAAATGAGAATTTTGCTCTGTAACATGATTTGGCATTGCCTAATAATCTTAATAAGAAATTACATTGAAAAAAATAATTCATATTTGAAATTTAGGAAGCGTTGATATTTATAATTTATGTAATGGGTGGAATGTTATATGTGAATGTCATGATGGAGGCTTTTATGGTGGATTAAACTGTCTATGGCGCATGTAATGAATGTTTTAAATTTTTTTTGTGAAAAAAATTTAGATAAATAAATTGTGTAATTTTTTAAATTAAAGCAAAATATGTCACATCTTATAATTTAAGAATAATAATTGTAAGTAATATATTTGAGATAATTTTAATAAAAATTTATCAACTAAACTTGAATTTAAGATCTCTATGATTAATTCTTATCGATTAAACTAATCTTTCATTAGTAAATGTCATTTAAATGCAAGAAAAGGAAGCTGACATTCTCAAATGGTGGTGCCCTATTTGGTGCTCAATTTTTGTTAGCATCCAAAGCCAAAGCCAAAACCAAGTCTGTTGCGAAATTGTGTTGTTTTCTTTTTCTTTTTCTTTTGGATAATTATGATTTGAAATTGTGATTTGAAGAGTTAAGGTAAGGAATAGAAATGCCGAGAAAAAGAAGGAAGAGTTATCCATTATCAATATCATGCCTTCCATTTTCCAACGCGGGATAATTTTGTCTATTGCCATGGCGCTGTCTTATTCGATGCCTTTTAGGGAAGGTGTGGCAAAAGCTTACGTGAATAGAAAAATTCGTCCTATTATCGATCTTTAATTTGATAAAAAAAAATCAATAATTCAAAATTGATATGATTTAAATTTTACATGATTTGTATTTAAATTAATTCAAATTTAAATTTTAAATTTGATGTTATTTGAACTTCAAATTATTTGAATTTAATCTGATTTAATTTCAATCTAATTTATATTCGAATTAATTCAAAAAGATATTAATTTAAATTTAAAATGACTTAACCTTAAATTTAAGGATGGAATTAAATTGGCGAGATTTTTTGGTTTTTGTTTATATTTTATATTTTAAGTTTTGGAAGAAAAGAAAATATCAAAAGATAAAAGGCGATCAATTAATTAATTTAATTTTATATATAAAATTTTATTAGTTTTATTATTTATTAATAAATAATAAAGATAAAAATTATTAATTTTAAAAATATATAATTTAGATGTAGAATCATAATATTATCTTATAATATATAAGTATTTAATATTAAGATTAATTGTATTAAAAAAATAAACTTTTTAAAATTTTTTACGAAAACTATACAGTATAATTTATATATGTATTTATATTGTTTTTGTCATATATACAATTAAAACTCAAAATCAAATCTTATACCCTAACGTTATGTTTGGATAAACATTAGTAAAAGAAAAGAAAGTAAAGTAAAGAAAAAGAAAGGAAAGTTAATTAAAGGAAAGGAAAAGATATATGTATCATTTATTTATATAGCTAAAATTAATAAAGTAAAACAAAGTAAAAAAATTTTAACAATCATTGTTTTGTTAAATAATGGAAATGGAAGGAAATGATTTATTATATTATTTTTTTTATTATAACCTTCGATAATCTTTGTTTTTGCTTAACATTTACATGTTTATGTTAACATATTTCACGTTTTCAATTTTCTTTTATTTCTTTTATAAAAATAGTTATCAATGAAATTTATCAAATTCATAAAAATAAGAAAAAAAATTATAGACAATAAATTTATTGTTAAATGATGTTTTGTATTCTCAATCTAATTTCAGAATTCAAAATCATACACTTTTAATTTAGAGAAATTAATAAGAATATAATAAGAATATAATAGTCATTTTATATTTTACAAATTTTATTCTTTTCCTTTCTCTTCCTTTTTCCTAATTTGGATTAGTTAAAAAATGAAGAAAGTTGAGAAAAACCATGAGGAGCTAAGCATACCTTTTTTTTTTCTTTATTTTTTATGTCATATACAAATAAGGGAAAGGATTCCCCATTTCCTTTTGTTTCCTTTTCATTCCTTTCCTTTCTCTCCCCTTACCTCAATCCAAACATGATGTAAAAGTTAAAAATTAAAACCAAACTTACCAGGTAAAGTCATGTTATGCCTTGCCACGCGAATAACCAATAGACAATTATGTCATCTTCATTTTTAATTGTAAATTTGTACTATTAGCTATTCAAAAGGTTAATTATTTAAATTAGATTAATACTATATCTAGCTAATTTTGATATTTTAATTTTTTTTTTAAGTTTTAAGATTTGACTATTATGCCAATTAAGTAATCAATGCTAATCACATTTTCTCTTTTTTACATTATTTACTCTTAAGTGATGACTTTAACGGGGAGTCTTCTTGAAATTATCCAATTATTTGTTCATTTTCAATTCATTACTCATGAATAATGTAAAACGAATATGATTGTATCAAATATTAATATGAATGACTAATAATAAATTAATAGTTAATACATGAATTATTGAAAACAAATACTAAATATTAGTCAATAAAATTCATTAAAAATTTAATCATTTAATTTTATATTTAAAAATATATAATTTCATATTATTAGTAAATTATTTTTAAATTATTTAACTTTAACATTTTAATTTTTATATAATATTAATTATATTTTTTATTTTAGAAGTTAGTAAATTAAATATGAATAACCAAAGTATTAAATTTAATTAACCAAAGTATTAAACCCCAATGATCCAATGGTCAAATTCAAAAAATCTAAAATCAAAATTATTCAAATCCAAAATATCAAATTGTGCTACCAATCCATATACTTAAGCAAAAATGTGAATTTAGTCTCTCTATAATGATTTCAATATTGACATTACCTTTACTTTCCATGTTTAAAATCTTGATCCAAATGATAATATGGTTTAAATTTCTTCTGTTAAATATGTTGATGTGTATATTGATAAGATGACGTGGCATTAATTTAGCTTCTGTTGCAAACTTTTATCATTTAATTGTTTGAGTTCTGATGATGTGGACTTTTTCAATCCATATGGAACACTAGATGATGGATTTTTTTATTGCCTTTCATTATTTGTTTGTTCTTTATTTTGTTTTATGTTTCTTCTTTTTCCCTCTCTCTAAGTTTGACTTTCTCCTACCCTTTTAAACACTCAAGAACAACTACTTATGACCACTTTTAACTCTAGAATATGATGTTGGCACTATCAACTACTATTGTTGATGATGTTAGTAATAACCTAAAAGTTATCCAAAAATTTCTTTTTACCTTCCTTACTTTTTTATCGATTTAGATTTACAAATAAAAAAAAAACCCATAAAAGCCCAAATCTAAAGCACAAGGTTGTGACTCCTCTATTTAAAAATTTGACATAATATCTTTGCCATGTTGGAATAATTTTCAAAATAGTGAAAGGAAATTGATTAAGTTAAGATTTAATAGTGTATTATGAGAAATCAAAGTTAAGTAAGAAAGAAACATGATTTGGAAACATGAAGATCAAATACTAAAATATCATGATTTGGAAGCCATCTTTTTGTTTGAAGTAATTCAAATACCCTATTAGGGCATTCAAATGCCCACCCATTGTTTCGGATTATTCAATAGAATATCACTAGAGCATTGAATACCCATGAAGAGCATCAAAATATTACCATTCGACACATTGGGCATTCGAATACCCATGAAGGGAATTCAAATACCACCCTACTATTCAAGCAAAAAGTGTGATTTTTTGAATGATTTCTCTTGGTATGAGATATGATTTTTTACTATAATAAAGGTGAATAATTATGTCTATAATCATTTATAAAGGTGTGATTTGGTTTAAGGTTGTCTTTTTTTAGTGGAATGACATAAATAAAGGGTCCTAACCCTTCTCTTTGGTTTTTTAAATAGAGATGGCCAAACCACTCATTTGCATATCCAAAATTCCATCAAACTCTCTTTCAAATTTTATCTCCCTCACTTCAAAGTAGTGAAAAGTCATTAAGATTGTGTTTGCTACATAAAACACAAGCTTTAAAGTAGTATTTTCATTCTTATAAACACTTAATTTTATCTTAATAAAATCTAGCTAGTTGTCCAACTCAATTCAAATCTAAAATCTCCCTAACTTTGACAAGTTTTCAAAATCGAATTTAGGATCAATTTGACCCAAATGCCTCATGTCAAATTTGGTCAAACTTGATTAAAAAAAATCAAATCTGGTCAAATTTGGTCAAAATTTGTCAAATCAGAAAAAACTTGGGTAAACTTTTAAATTTCACAACTAAATAGGATTAACAAGGCTTGGGATTGAAATTGATGATTTTAATGCACTACAAACCCTAATTGTAATTTGGGAAAGGTAAAATTACTAAAATACCATTCAAGGGTATTTTTATAATTTAACTTTTTCGAAGTTTGTTCTTCATGAAAGATTTTAGATCATGATTACGTATTATTTTATGATTTTTGATGTATTAAAAACTTTGATCGCACCTTGGCATGTGCAAAATTACTAAAATACCTTTTAGGAGTATTTTTGTAATTTGATCTTTTCGAGTTCAATTTTTTGTGAAACACTTCAAATCGTGTTTTGAAATTATTTTATAATTTTTGGTGTATAAAAAATCGCAATCACACTTCAGAGGTATGAAATTACCAAAATACCCTTTTACAGGCATTTTTGTAATTTTTTTTTGTTCAAAGGAAGGCAACGCCTTATTACATAGAAAAGGGGAAGGGTGGCTTGGTTTGAACCCAAGCTTTAATATCTTCCTTAAGACATCTTTGCCACTAGGACAAGAAGCGAAAGATATTCCCAAGGTCAGTTTTTCACAAAAACTTTCAAATCATGTTTTCATATTATTTTATGATTTTTGGTGTATTAAAATCACAAAAACAAAGAAGAAATCATGCTTTTCCAAGAAAATTGCATAAAAGATCAAAACTTTAAAAAAGGCAAAAGGGTCTTTTTCACTCTGTTCCAAATGCACCAAAAATCTTATTTTGTGTTGGATTCATCATGAACCATTAA